CCTCTCTGTCCCCATCCCAGTCCCCAGTCCCTGTCTCATCAGCAGCTGTTTTGTAGTTTATATTTTCACTCTGATCAAAGAACGTTGACTTTCTAGAAGCTTCACATTTCATAAATAAACTTTATAGATGACAATAAACGGGTTATTTTTATTCTCCTTTGATTCTCAAATAACAATCTATTTCTGGACAGTAGCTATTTTCAGTGTTTTATGCCTAAATAAAGCGGTTGATGACATCATCATTATCTTTCAGAGCAGAAAGGACTCTGGGGAACATCCTGAAGAAGAAAGGATGGAGGTAAACTCTGCTCCTCTCCTCCGACTGTCTGCATTTATTACCTTAGAAACTCTGCTAATGCTAAGAACGGCTAACTTTAGCTCAGGCCCTGGTCTCTGAAGAGCCAATCAGCTGCCAGGCCCTGGTTGCTATGGCTACTGTCTGAGGGAGCTGCAGCACAGCAGAGAGGGCTTCAACCTGAGGGAGTCAGGGTGGAGTCAGCTTGCCCTAAAACTCTGAGTGGGGGCCTGTCTGCTTCCTAGCTCGGTGGCGGTCTGCCCCCTTTCCAGCTCGGTGGCGGTCTCCCCCCTTTGCCAGCTCGTTGGGGGTCTGCCCCCTTGGCAGCTTCTTTGGGGTCTGCCCCCTTTCCAGCTTCTTTGGGGTCTGCCCCCTTTGCAGCTCGGTGGGGGTCTGCCCCCATTCCCAGCTTATTTGAGGTCTGCCATCTCCCCAGCTCAGTGGGGGTCTGTCCGCTTCCTAGCTCGGTGGCGGGTGCCCCCTTCCCAGCTCGTTGGGGGTCTGCCCCCTTTGCAGCTTCTTTGGGGTCTGCCCCCCTCTTGGTGCTCTAAGCTCCTCCTCTTTCTCAAAGTGACTGATTAGAACTTGCAGGAATCTGACTTGTTTCTCTGACAGGAGGTCCAGTTACGTGGTCACCACCAAGATCTACTGGGGAGGACAGTGAGTATTGAATCTATTCATTCTATCTCCTCATTATTGGCCACTTTATTAGGAACACCTGCCCTAGTGTGAGAACGCTGTCAGCCAATCACGTTGCAGAAGCTGCAACAAGAAAACGAAAGTTACTACCGTAACTATGGTTCTATGAAATAGAACCAGCAGCAAAAAGTTGATCAATGCAGAAAGGAGGATTTAGGTGACTGATTGTGGCAAAGCTGTAGGCACCAGACGGTCTGATGATGTTCAGAACCTGTTGATCTAATGGGGGTTCAACCAAAACTACTCGTAGGGAGGTGTGACTGTGGTTATTTTTGACTAGAACTGACTGTATGACACTTTGACCTGTAGGGGGCGCAGGGCTGAGCGTGTCTGTTTGTTTACAGGGCGGAGACGGAGCGGGGGTTGTCACGGAAACACATCATCGAAGGTAAACAACCCACTCGCCTGTTTTATTTCATTTTAGAGCTGCTTTTCCTACATTTCCCACAATGCTTTGAGATCAGAGACCCTGACAGCATCAGGCCGGTTTACGTCTCAGTTTGATTAGAACAGAAAGAAATAACCTGATTGGAACATCTGGAATGGATATCTCTGTGGAGGTCGGGTAGGTCTATG